GAGAGTCCCAGGCAGGATAAACCAAAGGAGAAACATGCTGAGACACATAGTAATCCAATTGACAAAAATTAAAGACAAAGAAAAATTATTGAAGACAAGGGAAAAACAACAAATAACATACAAGGGAACTGCCATAAGGTTAACAGCTGATTTCTCAGCAGAAACTCTACAAGCCAGAAGGGAGTGGCATCAGATATTTAAAGTGATGAAAGGGAAGAACCTACAACCAAGATTACTCTACCCAGAAAGGATCTCATTCAGATTTGACGGAGAAATCAAAAGCTTTACAGACAAGTGAAAGCTAAGAGAATTCAGCACCACCAAACCACCTTTACAACAAATGCTAAAGGAACCTCTCTAAGTGGGAAACACAAGAGAAGAAAAGGATCTACAAAAACAAACCCAAAACAATTAAGAAAATGGTAATAGGAACAAAAATATCGATAATTACCTTAAACGTGAATGGATTCAATGCTCCAACCAAAAGACACAGGCTCGTTGAATGGACACAAAAACAAGACTCATATATATGCTGTCTACAAGAGACTCATTTCAGACCTAGAGACACATACAGACTGAAAGTGAGGGGATGGAAAAAGATACTCCATGCAAAAGGAAATCAAAAGAAAGCTGGAGTAGCAATACTCATATCAGATAAAATAGACCTTAAAATGAAGTATGTTACAAGAGACAAGGAAGGACACTACATAATGATCAAGGGATCAATCCAAGAAGAAGAGACAACAATTATAAATATACATGCACTCAACATAGGAGCACCTCAATACATAAGGCAACTGCTAACAGCTATAAAAGAGGAAATTGACAGTAACACAATAATAGTGGGGGACTTTAACACCTCACTTACACCAATGGACAGATCATCCAAACAGAAAATTAATAAGGAAACAGAAATTAAGGAAACACTCCCATTTATAACTGCAGCAAAAAGAATAAAATACCTAGGAATAAACCTACCTAGGGAGACAAAATACCTGTATGCAGAAAACTGTAAGACACTGGTGAAAGAAATTAAAGATGATACAAACAGATGGAGAGATATACCATGTTCTTGTATTGGAAGAATCAATATTGTGAAAATGACTATATTGCCAAAAGCCATCTACAGATCCAATGCAATATCTATCAAATTACCAATCGCGTTTTTTACAGAACTAGAACAAAAAATCTTAAAATTTGTATGGAGACACAAAGACCCCAAATAGCCAAAGCAGTCTTGAGGGAAAAAAATGGAGCTAGAGGAATCAGACTCCGTGACTTCAGACTATAATACAAAGCTACAGTAATCAAGAAAATATGGTACTGGCACAAAAACAGAAATATAGATCAATGGAACAGGATAGAAATCCCAGAGATAAACTCATGCACCTATGGTCAACTAATCTATGACAAAAGAGGCAAGGATATACAATGGAGATAAGACAGTTTATGCAATAAGTGGTGCTGGGAAAACTGGACAGCTACATGTAAAAGAATGAAGTTAGAACACTCCCTAACACCATACACAAAAATAAACTCAAAATGGATTAGAGACCTAAATGTAAGACTGGGCACTATAAAACTCTTAGAGGAAAACATAGGAGGAACATTCTTTGACATAAATCACAGCAAGATCTTTTTTGATCCACCTCCTATAATAATGGAAATAAAAACAAAAGTAAACAAATGGGTCCTAATGAAACTTAAAACCTTTTGCACAGCAAAGGAAACCATAAACAAGACGAAAAGACAACCCTCAGAATGGGAGAAAATATTTGCAAACAAATCAACAAAGGATTAATCTCCAAAATATATAAACAGCTCATGTAGCTCAATATTAAAAAAACAAACAACCCAATCCAAAAATGGGCAGAAGACCTAAATAGACATTTCTCCAAAGAAGACATGCAGATGGCCAAGAAGCACATGAAAAGCTGATCAACATCACTAATTATTAGAGAAATGCAAATCAAAACTACATGAGGTATCACCTCACACTAGTTAGAATGGGCATCATCAGAAAATCTACAAACAGTGCTGGAGAGGATGTGGAGAAAAGGGAACCCTCTTCCGCTGTTGGTGGGAACGTAAATTGATACAGCCACTATGCAGAACAGTATGGAGCTTTCTTAAAAAACTAAAAATAGAGTTACCATATGACCCAGCAATCCCACTACTGGGCATATACCCAGATAAAACCATAATTCAAAAAGACACAGGCACCCCAATGTTCACTGCAGCCCTATTTACAATAACCAGGTCATGGAAGCAACCTAAATGCCCATCGACAGATGAATGGATAAAGAAGATGTGGTACATATATACAAGGGAATATTACTCAGCCATAAAAAGAATGAAATTGGGTCATTTGTAGAGACTTGGATGGATCTAGAGACTGTCACACAGAGTGAAGTAAGTCAGAAAGAGAAAAACATATATCGTATATGAATGCATACATGTGGAACCTAGAAGAACGGTACAGATGAACCAGTTTGCAGGGAAGAAATAGAGACACAGAGGTAGAGAACAAACGTATGGATACCAAGGGGGGACAGTGGGGGGGTACGGGTGGTGGTGTGATGAATTGAGAGATTGGGATTGACATATATACATTAATATGTATAAAATGGATAACTAATAAGAACCTGCTGTATAACAACAACAACAAAAGAAATATAATGGAAATATTTTATCAAGCCACCTACTCTAAAGGAAAATTTGATGAAAAGCAAATACACTACCTTGAAAATCATATATGGGGGTTTAGAAATTGGAGGCTTAAGAGGATTTCATTACAAGGTATTTCACCCCTAAGGGCTCCCATGATACGGAGTCCCAAGTACTTACAGTAAGACTCCATTGTATTAGCAAAGGTAGCACAATGAATATATATATTTTTTCTCTTTTTCATATTCAATGGTTTTTTATCTTATCAAATGTGAGCAACTTAACTCGAGTTATCTTTTAGTCAGTATAAAAAAAGTGTGGATATATGTATATGTATAACTGATTCACTTTGCTGTACAGCAGAAACTAACACAACATTGTAAATCAACTATACGCCAGTAAAAATTTAAAAACAAAACGAAAATAACACACAAAAGAAAACCTCATAATTACATATACCTTATTTCTTGGATCTGATGCAATTTGCTAAACACATTATAACTTCTTTAAAATCCATCTGAGATGCCATAGTATTAATGCTTATTGTATAGATTAGCCATTTTACATTTTTTGGTTATGCTTTTATTATATGTAATTATTTATATCAAGAAATATAATTTGATATCGAATCACTATGTTGTACCCCTGAAACTAATATAATATTGTAAATCAACTATATTTCAATAAGAAATACAATTTGACCCATGGCTAGCCAAACCTGTGTAACAATGAGCCATATTATAATATACTTACAATTTCAAGGAAGAAGGATAACGTGGTAAGCAGAAAGCATTTACAGTCAGACATATCTAACTGAATTCCAACTTTGCAAACCCTCTTTAGCTGTACAGCCATTGATAATTAACCTCTATGAGCCTCAGTTTCCTTGTTGACAATGGTAATGTTTAGAGACATGAATGGGGATGGTAGCATCAGAGACAAAATAAACGTATGTAAAGTGCCTAGAATACTGCCTGCCATACACAGGGGCTTAAAACATATTAGTCCTCTTTTTTAGTATATAATAAGAAAAGGAAAAAACAATTGAAATGTTCTAGGTGGAGAACCTGAACTAATAGATGGCCCCCTGAAAGCAAGAGCCCAATATGGGTGTCTAAACTTGTGAAGGACCAAACAGGAAATACTAGAATCCTCAATATCATAAGGCAGAAATGAGATTTAACTGCCTCTTGGCCTGCCTAATACTTACCTCCACAAAAAGAAGCCTTGAACGCTCTATTCTGGATGTAATCTCCAGAGTTTCCTTTGGGTAGCAGTGGTTTGTTTCTAGTTTTAAAGACAGTCAAATATGAAGCCAAAGAATAAGGCTCTTAGACCTGGGGCATGCCATCTGCCTAGCATTAAGCAAGAGCTGAAGTCAGTTACAGAAGCAAAGTCATTTCTAACATGATTTATGTTCCGTCCTTGAACGTGGCAGGAAGACTGCAAAAGATATTTGGAAGCCAATGCTTCCTGTGAATAAAGTAAACGAGTATATGCTAAGCCCCTCTCCCTGGACCATGCTGGCCTGTTAGAGAAGTTGCCAATGCAGAGTCTATGAACCCTGGAGCAAACCGACTATTCGGGATGAGAAAATATCTCCAGGGCAATGATCATTGCTACCGTAAACGTACAGAGCACAGTACGGCACCGGGGTCAGACGACAGATACCCAGGATATTACTCAAAAACACATCTAGCTCAAAGCTGACAAGATAATCTGTTCCTGTGAGTACAAAGCAGGCTGGAATGCTGCAGCCATGACCTACACAAGGAAAGAAAAAAGAAAGTGCAACTCTCCAAGGGCTCCAACTCAAGCTCTTTATGCAGGCAAAACTCCAAGGCACTTCAAAGGGAGTGTTGCTTATGGAAAGAGCGCTGAACCAAGCCCACCGGGGGTATCACTTCCACGATCATGTTGCCATCTACATTTCGTGAACTGGCAAATGCAAATATTTCAGATACAAGCTTAAACGAATGAAAAAAGAAGTGTGAAAGAGCTTGAGGGTTTGCTCGCAAAGAAACCTCAGTATTTCAGGAAAAGCATTTAATATCAGGAGCTTCATAAGTTATTCCAAAATTCCCAAGACAGTAATTGGTTTGTGATCGTATTAGAAATAAAAGTTTTTTTTTAATTGACACATATTGCACTCCTACATATCACATGATCACAAAACAGTACACTTAAAAACTAATGTCCCACAGTTAAATACTCTTAAAAAGGTCAGCAATATTTTTCTAATCGAAATATAGAGTATATTTTGATGTTTTAACAGTTTTAACATACGTGATTTGATTAACGTAGAGGAGCCAGAATGCAGCAAATATACTTACAGGAGGACCTATGGTGGGGGGAGAGTAGACAGAATAAGAAAAAGAGAGAGACAAATTAGTGAATATACAAATAGTAAGATTTAATAAAAGATTAGAACATCATAATAATCATCAGCACAATACAAGAGACATAGAAATCACTTAAGAATTTAGTGCCTCTCAGTCATTTTTTAGATCATGAACCTATTATGAGACCATATCAGAAAAATGTATTTACATCTATGTGCACACAAAATTTTATGTAAAATTTCACAGAATATTCCCTGAGGACTGTTTATGAATTACTCAGAAGTTCATATATTTTAAGAAAAGACTGTCTAATTTATACACCTAAAAATTTAGATAAAATATGAATTAGGAAGAGCGTTAGTCATTTATGATAGACCAGTTGTAGACAATTGATATATAAATTTCTTGAGTTTGGTAAAATGGCTAAATCAGAAAGATACCTGCTATTTGCTCTAAGAATGTTTATCTTTCAGTAGTATTGTCAGTATACAAAAGACTAAGTCCTGATATTTATGTAAGTTTCTTTAAAACTATGTATTCTCATCAAAACACAGGCAAAGTCTAAGAAAATTTCAATATCTCGCACACCATATGTTCAATGAAAGCACCAGTTCTCAGTAGCCCAGAAGTTGGGAATTGATTTTTATATTTTCTGTAAAACTGCATAAGTACAAAATTTTCACTATTTTTTCCTAATCCTCTTTCTTTCTTTCAACACAAAGATCAATTCAGTGATTATTTGGGTCCACCAATGTTTTATCATTTCTTTTTCCTCAAAAACATTTCTAAAGCATCCTCTATTATAAAACTTTGCACTCAATGAAAGGGATACCTATACAATTTTCCAGTTACTTAGAGTGAATGAGGTTTAAAAATAACTTTTGATAATTCTCTTAAAGGAATTAAGCAGCTATGTTTTCATAAAACCCTTTTTACTTTGACATCATATTTCCAAAAGGGAGAGGAAATGAGACAAAAAAAATCAATCTGCCGTCTGCTCTTTTTGATAGGTTAGTATTTCTATTTTTAACCCTTAGTAGATTGTTTTTAATATTAATAAACACTTGTAGAAAATGCTGGAAAATAGCATTTCTTAGTACACTAAAATCAAACCTTAAATTACCTTCCTCTTATCTTGCAAGGAAGAATTGATGTCCTGTTAAGACTTCACATTTACATTTACATTTTTGGAGGCTTAGACTTTATAAAACTAGTAAAACCATAAGTGAACACACTCATTTGAATATCTTGATTTCAGAAAAAAAAAGTTTTTATTTGAATTTGCATATAGGGATTTGGCCTGAAAGCAAAAAACAAAACAAAACAAAAATCACTAAAATGGGTGTCAGGACAACTGGTTGTGCTTCTAGTTCTGCTCATAACAAATTGCATGGCTTTGGCTGAAACACCTGACTGCTCTGGGTCGCCATTTCCTCAACTATAAAATGAAAACTCTGGATTGATTACTAAAGTTCCTGTCATCACTAAAATTCTATGGTTATACAAGAGGAATAAAAATTCTTAAATTGTGAAAAGAATGAGAGTTAAAGCATGACAAAATTTTACCAGTTGGATAAAATCATAATCAGGTTTCCAGGACATGTGCCCCAGTGTCCCAAGGCAGATGTTTCCGCAGAGAGTGTGCATTGACTGACCACCTATGTAGGTGGAAAGATGGGTGATGCTGTCATACTGCATGTGGCTAAGAAACCCTCTGCTGTACACTGAAAGGGCAGATTTAACTTGACACAGTAAATAAGCCCAAATTGGGGCCAGGGGTTAGTAAACTGTAATTAATAATATTTTGCAAACTTCTCCTTCCTACTGTTTGATGGAAATAAGAAGGTAAAAAAAAATGCTATGTGTAGCAGAGAAGATATAAACATCTCACAAACACACACACACACACGCATGCGCACATGCACACAACAGCCAACAGAACAATATAATTACTAATTAGGAGGAACAGATGTGGGAACCTAGCCAGAACATGAATGACACAGAACAGCTGAAAGAGAGACTTACCAGATTCTCCTCTTCGGCCCCTTTTACCTCGTTTCCCCGGAGGGCCTGAAATAAAAAGAACAGTTTTTGGAATTTTTGGTTCCAAAATGGCTAGTAAATGATTTCTATATATCTTGTCACTGTTTTTAACTAACATGAAAAGGACCAGAGATTTGTAAAGGCCAACTCTGCCTCTGGCATTTCAGCATAACTGTTAAGCTTCATTTAATTATAAAAGCTGTCCTAGATCTCTAACCAACTAGTGTTACTTAGAAACACTAAAGATTCAGAATTTTTGTTCATCCTGCCCGGGTATCATCAATAAGAAAGGGTTCGCTAAGCAAACTGGTGGTGTTGAGATTTCATGTTTCTTAGGAAAATTTCTTTTCTGAAGGTTTCAGCATATTAATAATTAAAAGTACTAAGTACAAATGATTACAGTTTCTCTTTAGTCAGGTTCCTCATGCTTCTCTTGAAAATATTTAGTTGGCAGTTAATTAAACATATATATTAATAATGTAAATAATCTTTACAAATATTTCTATTTTATTAAATGTGAATTTTCATCTATTGGAATTTCTCTGATTAAGAACCAGCTGAGTTAAAATCACAACGCTTTTAATTGGAAAGTGTTTAGGTAGTAAGTATTGGTCTCATTTTTCTAAGGGGCTAGCTCATTATTGTCATTCAATAAATGTTGAGTCTTTACGGTGATCTCATTTTAAAAGTGAAGAAATAACCTTTTTTTTTCAGTAAGTTCCCTATGAAGACCACCAAGCCAATATGTGTCAGACTTGCACAAGTTTCTAGACGTTCATGGTTTTCAAGCCATTATTCTCAACTATATAATTTCTGCTCTCATTTCCTTGGTTAGGAATAGCTCCCGCTGAATTATGATCCCAGCAAATAGAAGAGAATAATTAGCCCACAGTGAGAATTGAGGTCTTAAAATATTTGCTGGGAGAAAGAGGCCAAGGAAAATACAGAACTGCTTGGTTTTGAAGAATGAGTTGCAAAGTTGGACTGATGACTTCTAAACTCTAGAAAGTTCAAGGCACAGGCGTTGGCACCCAGTTGACTCTTAATGTGATCCTGAGCTACCGACTTCCATATGGAAACACTATCACGAGAAATAGAAACATCAGTGGGCCAGGTTAGTTTCCCTGCAAGCCCTTACACAGAGTAAGTCTGGCCATCTGTGTTTTGTAAGAGGTTAAAAGCAATCAAGCAATAAAATCAATTGAAAATATTAGGAGAAGCGGCTTTGTAGCAGAATCCAAAATTGTCATTCGAAATTTCAGGTTTCCTTCTGTGTTCTGAAATAAAGGGAGATTTTCATCACACTCAAGTTATCCTTGGCCAGACTGAGAGCAGAAGGAGAATCATATAGATAGGTAAATAAACCCAGTGGAATCCTAATAGGTATGAAAAATATACATTTATACACATGCTCAAACATACACAGACACAGGTATATATTGACAAATTCTGATATATAATATACAATGTCCTTTGGATTAGGAATCAGATTTTTTTATATTACAAAATTACTTTAAGAAGTGTTTAGCAACAACTAGATACTTATGATGTCTGTGGTCTGCACAGTAGGGACTATAGGTTATGTATAAGATGTATATCTGCTCTGAAGAAGCAAAGAAGTTGAAAAGACTAAAATAACACACATGAAAAATTTGTTAGTAGTATATGTTGTGAAGGCGGTACAATGAGCTTGTGCTCTGATTTGTTCCTTCTACTCTAAACACATGGTCAGTTATAAAAAGAGAAAAACATTTAAAAGTATTTGCATTCAAAAAAGACATGGGCATGTCCACAGGCCAGAAATGTACCAGAACTGGAAAGTGGAGAGCAGGGATAAACTATGAGCTTGCCTGGCTCTGGTTCTAGAAGTAGAAATGGTGGCTATGGGTTCTATCCCTGAAGAGTAAATACTCAAAAATTCTCTAATCAGATTCAGACTCACTTCTTAAAGTTGGGGGCTTATAAATGCTAAAGAGAAGCTTTAAAAAAATCTGAATCTCTGGCTTAAAGGCCGGAGAATATAGATATAAACTCTCAATCAGAAAACGAAGTAAGCATCTGCTGGTTTGATGCCTGATTCTGTGATATTCCAAACATAAATCTGCGACAGGAGTCCTGAAATATCATTTTAAGGCAACTCTGGTCTAGAAAGCTGGGAGGTCAGGTAAAGACAGACATAAAATGATTAGGTAAGAAAAGGTGAGTATAGAGGAAAGAAAGGCAGACACACACAGAGAGAAAACTACACACACACACACACACACACACACACACACACACACTAAAAACCTCCTACTCACAATGAGTATAGAAGTCAAAGTTCCAAAACATATGAAGAAATCTAATGCTAAGAAAGGTAGCACTAAAAAATAAGATCATGAATTCTTCCTAGGTAAAATTAATTAATTTTAAGAAACCATCAGACGAAGATTAGTATGTTAATTATGCTTTAAGAGATAAATGAAGAAGTAATACCCATTAAAGAGCAAGGGATTTTGAATGTAAACAAGGAAAAAAAAGAACAAGTGGATATGAAAGAGAACTCTTTAGAAATCTTGAAAATGTCATTGAAATTTAAAAAAAAGATAAATCAGTTAAATGCTAGCCTGGATATGGTTGAAGAAGGAACAGTCATGGAAGATGTAGAATGCAGCCCAGAGAGACAGATTGAGTATCTCTCTATGTATCTGACTACCCACTGTAGTCTGAATGTACATGTCCCACAAATTCACAGGTTGAAATTCTAACTCCCGAAGATGATAATTTGGGGAGTGGGGTCTTTGGGAGTTGCTTAAATCATGAAGCTGGAGACCTCAAGAATGGGGCTTATAAAAAAGACCCCACAGAGACCCCTAGCCCCTTCCACTATGTGAGGACACAGTGAAAAGTCTCCAGCTATGAACCAGGAAGAGGGCCCTTACCTGAAGGTGACCATGCCGAAACCTTGATCTTAGAGGTCCCAGCCTCCTGAACTGTGAGAAATGAATTTTTGTTCTTTATAAGCCACCCAGCCTGTGGTATTTTGTATTAGCAGCCCAAACAGAATGACTCTATCTACTATCTATCTATCTATCTATCTATCATCTATCTGTCTGTCTATGTATCTATGTATCTATCTATCCATCTATGTTAAGAAGAAAATTTTTACTTATAAAAGAACTCAGAAGAAATGATAGAGAAGACTTTGTTTAAGAGATAATAGATGAGAATATTCTAGAATTGAACTTAGGAGACCTAAGATTGAACTTATACTCCAAGTGGCAAGTAAAAATAAATCACACTTAAACACAAAGGAGAAACTTAGAAATATTCATGGATAAAGAGAAAATGGTAAGAACTACCAGTGGGAAGATTACAATGGAAGATACCTAACTGACTGCTGTCTCATCCACAACAAAGGTGCCAGAGGGCCCAGAACTGATTTTTAGGAAAAGCCTTAGAAACCTATAATTATGTTTGTTTATTGGAATTAGTTTGTCACTTTCCTCCTGAGGAATATTCCTTTTAAATAGTAGAATCTATCAAGTAAAAACAATAGATTACAAAAATGTTTAAAAATGATTTAAAATAAACTTTTTAAAAGATATCAGATTATAAAAAATGATCAGAGAAGCAATGATATTTTTGAAGAAACCAAGAAACAAAGTTAAAGGGATTCCCTGGTGGTCCAGTGGTTAGGACTCAGCCCTTCCACTGCCGTTGGCCCAGGTTCGATCCTGGTTAGGGAACTAAGATCCCGTAAGCCACGTCAAAAAAAAAAAAAGGAACATGTCTGCCTTAAATATTCAATTTAAGAAATGAATCAAATGCTGTGGGAAATTTGCTCGTTATATTGAGAGTTAGAAAAAATAAAATCGAAGGAAACTGAAAAGATACTTGGTAAGACAGATATCTATTGAATATGACAAGGTTTTCCAAAGAATTTCATAATATTTGAGAGAAAAAATTAAGCTAAACTAAGTTATGAGAAGATGGGAATCCAAACCCTATTGGATTTACAAAGAAAATACTTGATTTGAGAAGAGCATGTTATAATTGCTATAAGAAACAGAAGACTGAAGTGAGCATTATATTGAGCTTGTGAACTAATAAATTATACAAAACTCGCAGTAACACATAAAGATCTTGCTTACAAAGAAAATAAATAGAAGTTTTGAAAAAGTCTACTTTGCAGATGAGATAATTTGATATCACTCCTGAATTTAAAGGCAAAAATAATTTTAAAATTATATACATGGGATGAATTTGACAATGGGCAGCTGGCCGATCACCAGAGTGAAAATGAAGAAAAGACAAATGATAGATATTTCCCAGACAAAACCGATGTCAACAATAGCTAACAGTAGTTGAAAAAGATATTCCCATATATACAATGGAATATTACTCAGCCATAAAAAGAAAGGAAATTGAGTTACCTGAAGTGAGGTGGATGGACCTAGAGTCTGTCATACAGAGTGAAGTAAGTCAGAAAGAGAAAAACAAATACCGTATACTAACGCATATATATGGAATCAAAAAAAAAAAAAGGTACTGATGAACCTAGTTGCAGGGTAGGAATAAAGATGTAGACATAGAGAATGGACTTGAGGAAACAGGGTGGGAGGGGGAAGCTGGGGTGAAGTGAGAGTAGCATCGACATATATACACTATCGAATGTAAAATAGCTAGTGGGAAGCAGCAGCATAGCACAGGGAGAGCAACTCAGTGCTTTGTGATGACCTAGAGGGGTGGGATAGGGAGGATGGGAGGGAGGGGATATGGGGACATATGTATGCATGTGGCTGATTCACTTTGCTGTACAACACAAACTAACACAGTATTGTGAGGCAATTATACTCCAATAAAGATCTATTTAAAAAAAAAAAGAAAGAAAAAGATAGTGCTCATTTCTATTCCAAACTGAGTGATGAAGTGTCAGTCAGGCATGAGCTGTAAGAAGAAATATAGAAGGTGGAACCTGACTCTTATTCACTGAATTTGGCCAGGTCCGTGCAGCGGAAATTCTAAGTGAATTTTCTCAGCAGAAA